TTTTAGCTAGAAAATTTCTGAATAAGGTTGGTAAATTTACAATTTTGTACAACCCAGGTAACACAGATTTTTAATGACAGAAAACTAAAAAATTTAACAGCTGACATTTATCACGGGGTAATTATTCTATTCCAACGGTTTGGAATCGACTCAAAGGCACATCACGAGAAGTAGATAAACAAGCTGCGGATGGTCACTGTTACCGTCATAGCACTATTGTGTTTACCTTCTGATGAGATTGACCAACTTTGCTTTAAAGTGTTTTTCTTAAAGTGATCAGAAATGGATTATTTATAGCTCTCTGTAAGTTATGTAACACAGTGTGGTGGGGTCAGGTGCTGTGCCCTTGAATCTGTTCAACTCATCGCAGCCCTGTGAACCACAGAAAGAAACACTGCTGCCTGGTCCGCCGCCTCCTTGTTGCTCTGAGGGAGCCTCTTGTCGGAGCCACTCTCACCAGTCCATCTTGTGGAGAGTCTGCCTCTCGTCAGTGACCATGCGTGTCTCAGACTTTTCAGGGGACTTTACTGACGGCATGTTCAAAGTACAAAAGATAAGTCTCACCTTCTAAGGAATATTCCAGCTGAACTACTCCCAAGATTGACTTTTTCTTCTGGGAGTCCATGGTATTCCTAATATTCTTTGCCAGCGCCATAGTTCAGAGGCATTCGTTCTGCACCTGTCTTCCTGATTCGGTGTACAGCTTTCACATTCAAATTAGGGATTGCAAATAACACTGCTTGAGTTAGGTGGATCTTAGTTCTTAAAGTGACACCTTTGCTTTTGAACACTTTAAAGAGATCTTTTGTTACCTCTGTGCCCAATGCAGTAAGTCATTTGATTTCTACACTGCCACTTCTGTCGGTATTGATTGTGGATCTAAGTAAAATTGAATACTTGATAATGTTACTTTCTGTTTAATATGATGTTGCTTATTGGTTCAGTTGTGAGGCTTTATTAATGTTGAGGTGTAATCCACACTGAAAGACGTAGTTTCTGATCTTCATCAGAATGTGGTTGTCGACTTTGCTTTCAGCAAGCAAGGTTGTGTCTTCTGCATATTGCAGGTTGTCAATGAGTCTTCCTCTAGCCCTGATACCATCCATGCTTTCATGTAGTTCAGCTTCTCATATTATCTGCTTAGCATACAGATTGAATAAGTATGGTGAAGGGTACAACTCTTACGTACACATTTCCTTACTTTCAATCATGTTCAAATACTCTTGGTCAATGTAGAGGTTCTGCAATGTTACCCATAATTTATTCTCATCTACACAGTCAAATGCCACTGCATAGTGAATAAAGCCTAGACCAACATCTCTCTGGAATTCTCTGCTCTCAGCCAAGATTCATGTGGTGTCAGCAATGAGACCTGTCTTCTATCTGGCATTTCCCTGTCATTGGATTGCTACAAGCATTTAAAAATGATTTTCAGCAAGACTTTAACATGTGTGATACTGATTTTATTATTTTATAACTTCCACATTGTTAGATCACCTTTCTTTGGAATGGGCACAAATACGGATCTCTTCCCATCAGTTATTTGTAGACAGCCTGGTCGCTGTCTTCCATAGTTGTTGACATACACAATGAAGGCTTTAATGTTGCACCCACTTGTTGAAACATCTCAATCGGTTTTCTGTCGATTCCAAAGCTTTGTTTTTCTCCAGTGCCTTTAGTGCAGCTTGGACTCTTCCTTCAGTGCCCTTGGCATGTACACATGCTCCTTCCTGAAATGCTTACTCATTGACTTAATTCCTTTGCACTCCAGTGACTGTTTACTCCTTCCCACTTCCTTTCATTCTTCCCATTTTGTTCAGCGTTTTGCCCACGTTTAATCTGGCAGTGTGAAACTTTTTTTCTTCGTTTCGTTCTGCTTGAGATGTGCTGAGTGCCTGCTTCACTTCCGGTTCTCAACTCCCAGGCCATCGCACATTTCCCTCTGATGCTGTGTCCTCTTGGACTGTCCTTTACTATCTTCTGTTCAGCTTTTGACCTCATCCTTTCTTCCATTGCTTTTAACATTGGAAGTTTCCATTTCTTCCCATTTCTTTTGTAGAACCAGTTGCTCTATTTTCCAAGAGCGATTGTTCACGCTCGTTCTGACGTCCACTTTGGTCTTTTCTTTCGTCCTTGTCTTCAGTGACCTTTTGCTGTCTTCACGTATGATGGTCTTGATGCCATCTTTAACTTACTTTGGTCATTAGCACACTTTTTTAAGTTCTAATTGGCAGTATCACAATTTAATATTCTTTGGAAAACATGGTAAATAGGAGGGCCCTTCTTGAATCTCGCTCACATGTGGCCCCATTTGCGAATGCGGTTTTACAAAATTATGCCAGTTCAAGCTGGTTTGGAACTGCCTCCATGCTGGGAGACAGAATTGGGGAATAAAAAAATTCCTACAATTGCTTTTTTATTGTAATTGAAAAATTGCTCCAGGAATTTATTTTTAAAATTTATTTGAAAGACTCCTTTCAATTTTAGAAACTTCAGTCTTTAGTCTCTCTCTCTCTCTCTCTCTCTCTCTCTCTCGTTTTGTGCTTTTGTGCTTAAAATGACTATTCATAAACCTTAATTAGAAAAGTACCTTACTTATGCATGCTTATATATTTATGTTGAAATTAAAATTGGTTGTTAATTTTTTGCTGACTTTCCAGAGTACGTAAGGCATAAATTACATCTTGGAGGCTTTTCCATGATTTATTTCTTGGTTTTAGTTTCTTCCTATTTTCTTAATATCAAATGTGTTTCTGGCGGAGAAGATTTTAGAAATAGGCTAGTCAAGCTAATTGGACCTTTAAAAAAAAAAACGTTTTTCCTTTAAAAAAAAAAATGCAGTGTTTACTACCATATCTAAGTCTTATGTATGAAAAGCTCCATATAAGGGATCAACAAATCACTGTTCCTTCCTTTTATAAAGGGCCAGGTTGTACATTTAGAGTTTGTAGGCTTGAGCAATGTGG